CATTCGCATGGATATGATTGCTTGTTTCGGGTCTTCTGATGCTTATTCCTGATCCCGTTGACACCACATAATCACAAAGGTTGGGTGTGCTTCTTCCATGTGGGTTTTGTTGCTTTCCTACTAGATAAATAGCCGCTTGTTTAACTTCAAGCCTTTAAGACCCAAGTCATTATGTCTTTAGTACCCGGACACCATCAGCTTTCTTCACCACATTTACTTATGCACCCATTTTGACTTCAGTGATCTTGTCGGGAAGGTGAGTGTCACAGAAGCCAAGTTATCAGAACAAAGTGTTCTTGCATTGAGAGAGGACTTGAATAGAAGTTCAAAGGCCAACTGCTACCTTGATATTTAACATATAAATGTATGTACATAGATCTCTATCTCTATCATTATATATTAATATATTTACATATATGTGTGTCTGTATTTATACCTCTATAAATGTATTTTGCCTCCTAGTTCTTTCCTCTCTTTCCTTTTACTTTCCTTCTGTCCCACTATCATGTTGGACCTTCATTTGGCTCTCAGTAGTAATTCCTTTAGGCTACATTGCACTTGCTCAAACCCCACAAGACAGTCTACAACCTCTTCACTATAGATTTTAGATCTCTTGTTGTTCCCTTGTCCATGGTTGTGTTGCTCCCCACTCCCTTTCCCCAGTTCCTCCCCAACACTCTCTCCTGTCTCCAATGAACAGAACGCTTGGTCCTGTTGTTTTGTCCTCTGGGTTGCTTATCTTGCCTATCTTATATATATAGACATGGGGTGAGGGGTGGGGGCAGAGAAGAAGGAAAAACTCTCTTCTAAATAGTTCCAGATCTATCTCCTCACCTTTCTGTATGTTTTCTGATCGAGTCTGATGAGGTGCCATGCCATGCCCTCTAAGTCTGAAGTCTATTTTGGGGATTCCATGGGTACATCATTGCTTTACTTCCCTTGCTGCACTCTTGTGCTCCCTCTGTGTTTCATCCCAATTTAGGGGGGTCTTACCGGTACAATTCCCACACTGTCTCTCCAGTGCTGTCTCCTGCAGTGTTGTGTCAACAAGTCTTGGTGGGGCCAACCCTGAGGTCCTCTCTGTGACTTGGTTGCTGCAAGTGGGGTTTGGTGGGCCAGGTTGTGGTTCATTTTCTCTCTCTCTCTCTCTTTCCCTCTTAATTTGTTCCCACCCTCTCCCCAGGCTGCATCTTCAGTGCTGTCTTCTGTAGCACAATCTTCTAGGGAGAGGCTGTCATAGCTGGGGTTGGTGCAACCCCATAGACCTCTCTGTTACTTTGCTGTTTCATGCCATAATGTTGCCCTCAAGGCTTGGTGTACCATGTTGAGGTCTGGTCCCTCTCTCTCTTTCCTCTTTCAAAAGATAATATACAATCAAAAATATTTTTAAATAATAAAAATGATAAGATACAAATTTACGTTTTACTGAAAAATATTCTAATGCTGTTTGTGTTCATCTATTTTACTAATGGATGAAAGTGTTTCATATAAAACAAGTCAAAGGCAAAGATAACTATCAAATTTATGTGTTGTTGTTATTAGGGGCCCTCAAGTCAGTCCCTCCACTGTGGTAGTTATATAATCTGTTGTCAATTTGAGAGGATTCAGAGTGAAGAGGTGAAGTCGAGCCTGTTAATCAGGTAGTAGTTTGATGGTCTCTTTTGGACATGCTAAGGAGATAAATACCTCGCTGGAGGCGGGACACTCATTCACTCCCTATGAGACATTTCCGAGGAGGAGGAGCCACAGGAAGCTATCCTGATGCAGCCAGAGTCCTGGGTGCTGGAGAAGCCACCTGGAGACCCTGCCGGACCTAAGCTGCTTACAAATGCCACTGGATCCACAAGACTTCCCACCCACTTGTCTGTGATCTTCCTGCATTCTGTGTCATTGCATGCGTTTTGCGAGTCTGAAGAGGACTTTATAGACTGGTATCGGATATATGGGCTAATATTGGACTTATGGACTTGATCGAGACTGGGCTGGGATGTATTCTCAATATTCAATTGCTTTTGTATAAAAAACTCTTTCCTATACACATATGAATGTCTATGAATTTGTTTCTCTTGTCTACCTGGACCAACACAGTGACCCTATGCAATACAGAAGGAAACAGTGCTCATTCCTGGGCTATCCACAAGATAGTTATTATATTTGGACCGATTGCTGTCGCCATATTGTCAATTCATCTCATTAAGAGTCATCCACTTTTTTGCTGACATTCTACTTTACCAAGCATGATGCCCTTTTTCAGAAATTGGTCATTCCTGATAATATGTGCGAAGCATGTTAAATGATGTCTCACAATCTATACTTCTTCTCACAATCTAGGCTTCTAAGAAGCATTCTGGCCGTGTTTCTTCAAAGCTTGATTTGTTGTTTCTTTCAGCAGTCCATGGTACTTTCAATATTCTTCACTAGGCATGCATCGATAATGCATGATTCAAATGCATTAATTTGGGGTATTTTTTTTCATTGTTTAGTTTATCCACCTCTCCAATAACATATTTAGCATCTTAAGGCATATATAAATTTATATGTGGAGAGGAAAACTTGCCAATGAATGTTTTCTCAGAAGTTGTATAGCATTTTGAAGGGAAAAAAATCACTTCACCTCACTACAATTTAATCGATGCTGACTCATAGCAACCCCTTGAGGATTTCTGAGACTGTAACTGTTTATGGGACTAGAAAGCCCAGTCTTTCTCCATGGAGCTGATGGTGATTTTGAACGGCTGACCATGTAGATCTCAGCTCAACTCATCATGCTGCAACACCAGAAGCTGTGCAGACATGAAATGGAACACGTAAAGAACAACATTCCAGGCCAGTGGTTCTCCACCTTCCAATGCTGCAACCCTTTAATACAGTTCCTCGTGTTGTGGTGACCACCACCCCCAACCGTAAAATCATTTTCGTTGCTACTTCATAACTGTAATTTTGCAACTGTTATGAATTGGGTGATCCCTGTGAAAGGGTCGTTTGACTCCCCCCTACCAAAGGGGTTGCGACCCACAGGTTGAGAACCGCTGTTCTAGGCAGGAGTGAGTGAAAATGGATTGTTGTTGGCCATGCTGAATATAGCAAAGTTCTGATCTACTCTGTCAAGAAGTACATAGAAGAAGGGTGATATCATATTCATCATTAAAAAAACGGAAAATCTGTACTGAAATACAGCAGTTTCCATGAATAACATGAAAAGAAAAATCCATATGCCTAGAAAGAACACCATTAGAACAACTATTATTAAAATGGAATTATACATCAACCACTATAGCAAAATATGAACAAACAATTTCCAATTTCTGAAGTTTGAAATTGAGCAAATATGCAATCAAGATGCATCAATTACTGGTAATTGGAATGTGAAACTTGGAAACAAAAAAGGCTCGATTTTTTTAAAATATGGCTTGGTGATAGAAACCACTCTAGGGATACAAGATTTATTTTTGCAGGATAAATGACTTATTCATTGCAAATATTTTCTTTCAAAAATTTAACTGGAGCTGATAGATGTGGGCTGTGGGCCATATGGTCCAGATGTAATACACAGGAATTATGTCAACTACATCTGTGGAAAGAGAGTCTGGAGTCATTCAACGTCATCAATCAGAACCAGGACAAGGGACAACTCTGACACAAACCATAAACTGCTCAGCTACAATTTCTGTGAGAAACTGATGAACATTAACACTCATTCATGAGAGTCAAATTCTTATTTTTAGTATACCCCACAAAAATTAAGAGACTAGCTCACAAATAGATTTATGGATTAGACAATCAGACAAGTTTGAAAATGTCATCAAGGACAGTATACCTGAAGAAAGAAAGAAAAAAAAACATGTATTAAAATACAGGAGGGCCATAAAAGACCAAAATGCATGTCAAAAAAGATGTTGACACTTGTTCTAAGAAAGTAGCTCTCATAGAAAGAGTACAGAAATGTTTAAGTGAAAGAGCCAAAGAGACAATTCCCAGGCCAGTCCAAGGACACAAAATATATTACAGTGAAATTTGTAAAGACATAAAGTTGGTAAACCAAATGGTAAGATAATAGCGTTTCTCAAAAAAAAAAAACAAAAAAAAAAAAACCCAAGCCAAGAGTTGCAATATTGAAAGATTCTACAGGCAATATATGGAGACATGCATAAAACATCAGAAGAAAATGGAAGTAATACACATATACTCCCTGGTCTGTCAATTTGCTGTGCTGTGGTGGCTTATGTGTTGCTGTGAAAGATGTGATGCTGGAACCTGTGTCACTGGTATTTTAAATGCCAGCATAGTTATCCAAAGTAGCAGAGCTTCCAGACTAAGAACACACAACAAAGAAGGACTTAGGTCTCTGCTTTGGAAAAAAGGGAGCCACTGAAAACCGTATGCATAGCTTGGAAACATTGTAAAATCCTGAAGGCCTAATGACTAGAAGCAGAACATTGTCAGAGATAGGGCTAGGGGTGGCCTGTCAAGTCGGAGGGCATCTCCAAGTGGAGCGGAACATGATGTGAGTGGTGTGAAGCCTGTGTAAGTGGAGCCCTTTGGGATCTTCATTTGCTGATGGGCACCATGAAAGGTAAAGAAAACCAGCTGTAAAAATCTGCTTGTGATCAGAACATGAAATATGCTTAGCATGAGGCCACGGATTTTGGAAGTGATCAAAATGAAATGGAATACACAGAGATCTATAGTCTAGGCATTAGTGAGTTGGAATGGACTGGTATTGGCCATTTTTAATCAGAAAACCATGTGATTTACTATGCTGGGAAAACAATCGGGAAGAATGTAGTGGTACTCATTGTCAAAACAACACAAAACTCACTGCCATGGAGTTATTGCTAACTCATAGCTACACCCTGGTTGTTTCTGAAACTAACTGTAGAAAGTTAGTTATTATTTAATAATAAGTAGAATAAATAATAAGTAGAATAATAAATAAATAATAAGTAGAAAGCCACTTATTATTTTTTTTCCTTTTTCTTTTTTTTTTAATCTAATAAATGCAGGGGAAAGCGCAGATGCATTCCCCCGCTGCCATGTTATGCAGTTGAGTTTCCCACATTTGTGGAAATTGCAGGGGTCAGCACGTCCAGAGTGCAATGGATAAGCCTCGCCTTGGGGAAACCACCTTCGTGATCATGGTATCTCCCCTGCCAGGTAAGTATTACCACTTATTTTTTCCAGAGGAGCTGCTGGTGGTTTTGAACTGCCAAACATGTGGATTGCAGCCCAAATTGTAACCACTACACCACCAGGGCTAATTCTCATTGTGAAAATGGACACGGAAAAAACAATCATGAAGTGCAATGCTGTTTATGATAGGATTATATCTATTTTCATACATGGAAATTCAACCAATATGACCATTATTCATCTGTATGCACCAACCACAAAAGCTAATGGGGAGGATATTGAAGAATTGTACCAAAAATTTCAGGTTGACATTGATCAAACATCATGCCATCAAGATGCATTGATAGTAATTGGTGATTGGAATGCAAAAGTTAGAAACAAAGAAGAAACAGCAGTTAAAAAACATGAATTTGGTGATAGAAATGAAGATGGAGATCGCCTAATAGAATTTGGCAATGCTAATGACTTGTTCATAGCAAATACCTCTCTGCAACAACACATAAGGTGGCTTCTCCAGATGCAATGCACGGAAATCAAATTAACTACATCTGTGGAAAAACACTCCGGAGAAGCTCAACATCAGCATCTAAAACTAGGTCACGGAATGACTATGGGACATACCATCAATTACTCATAGGTAAGTTCAGGATAAAGCTGAAGAAATGTTTTTAAGTCCATGGGAGCAAAAATATAACATAGATTCTATCTTCCATGGATTTCAAGAACATCTTAAGAACAGAATCGATGCATTGGACACCTCTGACAAAGACCTGATCACCTGTGGGAGGACGTGGAGAACCCCATGAAAAAAGCCAAAGGTCCTTTAAAAGAGAGGGAAGGAAGAAAAGATCCAGGTGGAGGTCAGGAGACTTTGAGCTGTGCTCTTAATAGTAGAGTTGTTGGTAGGTGCCATCTAGTGAGTTGCAAACCATAGCAACAATGTGCACAACAGAAGGAAACCTTGCACCATCCTGGGACATCCTTACATTTATTCCTGTGCTTTGTTTAGACCTATAATCAATGATCATGGAGGCAGAAGTCGAAAGATCAAAGGATGAGTTGCATTAGGTAAATCTGCTGCACAAAACCTCTTTGGACTATTGAAAAGCAAAATTTCACTTTGAGAACTAAGGTGTACTTGATCCAGCCCATTGTATTTTCAATGGCCACATATATATGTGAAAGTTGAACATTGAATCAGAGGGTCATTGCAGAATTGATTCATTTGCATTGTGGTACGGAGAAGAGTATTGAAAGTACCATAGACTGCTAAGGGACCCACAAGACTGTCTTGGAATCAGTATTACCACCGTGATGCTTAGAGGCTAGAATGGAGAGATTTTCATCTTATAAACGGTGTACATGTCAGGAGAGACCAGTCCCTGCAGAAGGACATCATCTTTGGTAAATTTGAGGGGCATACCAAAAAGAGAAAGACCCTCAAGGAGATGGATTGACATCATCGCTGCAACAATAGTTGAAGCAAAGGAACAATTGTGAGGACGACGCAGGATGGGCAGTGTTTACTTCTGTTGTGCATAAGGTAGATAGGGGTTTGAACTGACCTGAGAGCACCTGACAACAACAATAACAGCATATAATTAAGATCCAGTGCTTTGGAAGAAATAAGGCATGAATGAACAATAAATATTTAAGAGTGCATGAATGGGTATTTTTCAACAGATACATGTACATTTTGAAGTGCTTATTCATCTATACAAAAATTTTAGGAGACAACTACCTCTCCGGGAAACTGGAAGCGATCCATATGTATGCCCATTCCCATTAAATGCGATCAAGTAGAATTCCGAAATGATCCAAAATGATCATCATTATCACTTGAAAGTGAAATTTTGTTGAAGATCTATTTAAAAACAGTTGCAGGAGTACATCAATGGGAAAGATCATCTGGGATTCAGAAGGGGATAGATGGTTGTCACTGGGTGCTGTTGACTCAGCTCTGATTCATAGCCCCTTATGTACAACACAAGGACATTCCACTCGGTCCTGAACTATCCTCTTAAGTGTTGCTGTGGGAGACGAGCCTCTCTGCCCAGGCTTCCAATGAGCATTCTGGATGTACTTCTTTCAAGACAGATTCGGATATTGAATGGGGAGGGAGGAAGGATGAGAATGGGGGATAAAGTGAACATTTATGGAAGTTTTAATACGATATTGTTGATTTCATTTGTTGAAATGGACTTGGTATGTACATACAGTGTGTTTCTATAAAACAAACAAATGAAAAATGCCCTCCAGGTTTCGTATCCCATGGACCTAAATATTGCTCAGAGTTGCTAAAAAAGAAAAAAGGAGGAAAAGTAAAACTGCAAGGGACTTTGAGCTATTACTAACAAACAAGTCCATTAAAGTTCTCGCGCAGTAGATTTGACCAATGCAATGCTTTGTTTGATCTCTGGACTGCCACTTCCAGGACCATTGATTGAGGATCGAAACAAGATGAATCCTGGATAACATCAGTCTTTTCTGCTTTTACCATGATGTTGCATAGAGGTCCAGTTGTGAGGACTTTGGTTTTCTTTACATTGGGATGAAACCCATACTAGGCTACAATCATGTATCTTTAACCTCAAATAATTCAAGTCCCCCTCACTTTCAGCAAGCCGTGCTGGTACATCTGCCTGGAGAATGCTTTTAAATAACCTTCCTCTAATATTGGTGCTGTGTTCTTCTTCTTGTCTAGCTTCTCAGAAGAGCCTAAGCTAAATGGTTAAGATGAAAATGATAGAAAATATTAAGTGTGGCTAAGGTTGGCTCTGACTTGTAGTGACTCTCTGAATATCAAAACACAACACTCCCTAGTCCTCTGCCATTGTGACAACTCTTGTGATGTGAGAGCCCACTGTTGCCGTCACTGGGCTGAGCCATGATTTTCAGGGTCTCCTTGATTTCTCTGACCTTTTATTTGACCAACCACGATCTCCTTTGACAGGAATGGTTCACCCCTGGTCACATGTTCAATATCATGAGACAAAATCTTGCCATCTTTGCTTCTAAAGAATATGCTGCCTGGTTTTTTTCCCTAAGAAACTTTTGCTTATTTTTCTGGAACTCCATAGTGGCATTGATATACTTTGTCAATATAATAACTCAGCTTTAATATTCAGAACATCCATGAGAATGAATGTTTACTTATCTGCTTTGCACTATTGTTTAGTATGTTGTAAAATGAAATTACACATATTCTATTATGCATTTCCACATAAAATCTTTCAAATATAAGCATGTGTAGGCTTTACCAAGGAAAAGTGTATTTTCTCACGTTAATTTCAATACTTCCAAATTGAAAAACTACTGATACAAATGAAGAAATAACTCACATGCATTCATTCAACAAAATACTATGCTACAGTGGGAATGAAAAAGCCAAAACAAGACCAAAATATCCACCCAGGTCAACCTGAAGAAACCACAGAAGTAAAGTGTGTGCACATCAAGAGCCTGTGCAGTGGTTCTAACAGAACAAGGTGATGCTGCATTGCTTAAAATCAGGAAAGGTGTGTATCTGGGTTGTATTTTTCCATCATACTTATTTAAGTTGGATGGGCAAATAGGTAGCATAATAAACAGAGAAACTGTTGGAGGTATTGAGGATTTTTTCTTGGATGCTTGGATGCACCATCATTGCTGATGGGAGCAGCGGTCAAGAGATCAAAATAAGCTTTGCATTGGGTATATCTGCTGCCCAAAAGCTCAACAGAGTATTGACAATCAGGGATGCTACTTTGAGAAACAAGTTGTCCCTGATCCAAGCCATGGTATTTTAAATTGACCCCTATGCATATGAAAGTTGGACATTGAATAAATAAGACCAGAGAAGAATTAATGCATTTGAATTGTGGAGCTGGAGAAGAATATTAAAAGTACCATGAACTGCTTGGGACAAGAAAAGTCTGCCTTAGAAGAAATATGATATTACTTAGAGGCAAGAATGGAACAACTTGGTCACAGGTATTTTGAACATGTTATCAGTAGAGATGAGTCCCTGAAGAAGGATATAATACTTGGTAAAGTAGAGGGGCAGCGAAAATTAAGAAGGCTTCAAAGGAATGTAGTGACATCATGGCTGCAATAAAGGGATCAAGCATAGGGACACCTGTGAGAATGATTCGATGCAGGACAGCAGTTTGGTCTGTTGTGCAAAGGGTTGATAAGGGTTGACACTAACTCCATGACAACAACAGTAATGACAACATGCTGAGAAGATCACCGTGGACTCTGGAGCCTGTGAAGGATCATGTGGCATCGGAAATAGAGGAGGATGTAGTAAATCGCCTGTGACATGTAGATGACACCCCCCAACTCGCCAACAATGAAAACAGACGTAGGTCGGGGCTCAAATTTTAGATCATCATCTTTGTATTCACAGTCTGAATTAACTATCAAACCTTCCAAAAGTTTACTCTTTCTCCTCTCCCTGACTAGAACAGACTGATGCCTAGAGGACAACTTGATTTCTTGATAGCATAAAGAAGCACAAACCAGAAGAAAATCCTCAAGAAGATAGATTGAAAGAGTAGCTGAAACAATAACCATGAAGGTGATCATTGCTTCATTCGATGAGTCAAAACTGAGGAGATGGTACCAAACAACAAAATCAATTGATGTTTCAAAATAAAATCAACCTATATGACTGAAGATAATTAAATGGGCACATATATTTGTACATGATGAAAATTTCCAAACAAGTGATGTAGTAAATGATAGAAAGATCTTCCAAATGTAGAGTCTGATTAAATCTAGAAAGAGCAGGTTGATCACAAACTTGAAAAGCAATAATAATTTAAGGCAAATTCAAAGTAATTCAATAAACTCTTGCATCAAAGAGTTAAAAATAATAAGAATGACTATGTAAACACCCAAACAATGGCAATGTAGAAAAATGATCATTAATCCAAAACCAAAAGAAACTCAGTACAGAAAAACATACGGAACAAAGAAACTACCAATCACACACACACACACACACACACACACACACACGCAAAGAAGCAAGATGATAGCGGTAAAT